TTTTTCAAATATAAGATCATATTATCTACAAACAAGGATAATATGATTCTTTCCTTTTTAATTTGGAAGCTCTTTATATCATTCTCTTGTCTGATTGCTCCAGCTAGTACTTCCAGTACTATGTTGAACAGTGTTGAAGATGAGCATCCTTGTCATGTTTCAGATCACAGAGAATAGGTTTTCAAATTTTTTGCCCTTCAGGATGACTCTTGCAGCAGTTCTGCTATATATACTTTTTATTATATTGAGGTTTGTTCCTTCTATCATCAGTTTTTGAGGGTTTTTATCATGAATCAATGTTGAATTTTATCAAATGCCTTTTCAGCATCAATTGAAAAGATCATATAATTTTTATTTTTCATTCTTTTGATATGATGTATCATATTAATGGATTTTTGTATGTTGAACCTTTCTTGCATCCTTGGGATACATTCCACTTGGTCATTGTGTCAGTCTGTTCTCAACTGCTCATGGAGACATACCTGAGACTGGATAATTTATAAAGAAAGGAGGTTTAATTGCCTCATAGTTCAGCATGGTTGGGGAGGCTTCAGGAAATTTGCAATCATGGCAGAAGGGGAAGCAAACACATCCTTCTTCACATGGCAGAAGGAAAGAGAATGAGTGCTGAGCAAAGGGAAGAAAGCTCCTTATAAAACCATCAGATCTCATGAGAATTCATTCACTATCATGAGCATGGGGTAATCACTCCATGATTCAATTACCTCCCACCAGGTCCTTCCCGTGATACACGGGATTATAAAAACTACTATTCAAGGTGAGACTTGTGTGAACACAGCAAAACAATATCAGTCATGATGAAAGATCTTTAACGTATTCTTGAAGTTGGTTTACTGTTATTTTCTTAAGGAATTTTGCATTAATATTAATCAGAGATATTGGCCTGTAGTTTTCTTTTTTGAAATGTCTTTGTTTGGCTTTGGTATCAAGGTAATACCAGCCTCATACAATGAGTCTGAGTTTGGAAGTATACCCTCCTTCCCTTTTTTTTCGGGAGTAGTTTGACTAGGATTGGTATCAGTTCTTCTTTAAATGTTCAGTAGAATTTCACAGTGAAGCCATGAGGTCCCAGGCTTTTCTTTACTGGGGGACTTTTTATTAGGAGTTTTACCTCATTGTCTGTCATTGGTCTGTTAGTAGGTTTTATGAATCTATGAATTTGCCCATTTCTTCTAGATTTTCCTATTTATTGACATATAGCTGCTCACAGTAGCCACTAATGATCCTTTGAATTTCTGCACTATCAGTTATGTCTTCTTTTTATTTCTGACATTATTTATTTGTATCTTTTCGTTGTTATTGATGTTAGTCTTGCTGAAGATTTGTCAATTTTCTTTAACTTTTCTAAATAACAACATTTTGTTTCATTGAGCTTATATATTTGATATAGTATGGTTCTTTGTCCCCAATGAAATTATATGTTGAATTGCAATCCCCACATGTTGAAAAAGGGGCCTGATGGGAGGTGATTGAATCATGGGGACAAATTTTCCCCTTACTGTTCTCATGATAGTGAATGAGATCTCATGAGATCTGGTCATTTAAAAGCGTGTAGTGCATCCCACGTCAATCTCTCTCTCTCTCCTATCACCATGTGAAAAAGTACTTGCCTCCCCTTTGCCATTCTTCATGATTGAGTTTTCCAAGACCTCTCTAGTCATGCTCCTGTATGTCCCATGGAACTGAGTCAATTAAACCTCTTTTTAAAATAAATTACCCAGTCTCAAGTAGTTCTTTATGGCAGGGTGAGAATGAACTAATACAGAAAATTAGTACCAGGGAAGTGGGACAATGCTATAAAGGAAGTACTAGGAAGTGGGACATTCCACATACCTGAACATGTGGAAGTGACTTTGAAACTGGGTATTGGGCACAGGTTGGAATAGTTAAAAACAATCAGGAGAATACAGGAAGATGAGGGAAAATTTGAAACTTCCTAGAGACTTGTTGAATGGTTGTGACCAAATTGTTGATATTGATATTGACAATGAAGTTCAGGTTGAGGTGGTCTCAGATGGAGATGAATAACTTATTAGAACTGAAGCATAGATCACTCTTGCTATCTTTAACAAAGAGAATGGCAGCATTGTGTCCCATCTCTAGAGATCTGTGGAACTTTGAACTTGAAATAAATGATTTAGGGCATCTGGCAGAAGAAATTCCTAAGCAGCAAAGCATTCAAGAAGTGGCCTGGCTGCTTCTAAAAGCCTATGCATAAACAAATAAATGATCTGAAACTGCAACTTACATTTAAAAGGGAAGCAGAGCATAAACATTTGGAAAATTTGCAGTGTTCATTGTGTAAAACTCATTTTTCTGGGGAGGAATTCAAGGCTGCAGAAATGTGCGTAAGTAAAGAAGAGCTGGTGTTAATAGCTAAAACAATGGAAAAAATACCTACAAAGTATTTTCTGAAATACCTTCATGGTAGCCTCTACCATCAAAGGCATGGAGGCCTTGGAGGGAAAAATGGTTTTGTTGCCCAACCAAGCCCAGGATTCCCCTTTTCTGTGCAGCCTTGGAACATGATAGCCTGTATTCCAGCCACTCCATCTCCAGCTGTGGCTAAAGGGGCCAAGATGCAGATTTTGACATTTCTTCAGAGGGTGCAAGCCCTAAGCCTTGGTGCCGTCCATGTGGTATTGGGCCTGCATGTGCACTGAAGGCAAGAATTGAGATTTGGGGACCTCTGTGTAGATTTCAGAGGATGTATGGAAATGCCTAGATGTCCAGGCTGAAGTCTGCTGCAAGAGCAGCAGAACCTTTACCAGGGCAGTGCAAAGGGGAAACGTAGAGTTGGAGCCCCCACACAGAGTCTCCACTGGGTTACTACCTAGTGGAGCTGTGAGAATTGGCCACAGTCCTCCAGATCCCAGAATGGTAGACCCAGCAATAGATTGGAATGTTTGTCTTGAAAAGCTGCAGGCACACAATGCCAGCCTATTAAAGCAGCTGTAGAGGCTATTCCCTGCAGAGTCACAGGGGCAGAGCTGCTTAAGGCCTTGGGAGCCCACCCCTTATATCAGTGTGCTTTGAATGTGAGCCATGGAGTCAGAGGAGATTATCTTGAAGTTCTAAGGTTGAATGACTGCCCTACTGGGTTTTGGACTTGCATGGGGCCTACAACCTCTTTGTTTTGGCTGATTTTCCCTCCTGGATGAGGTCTATTAAACCAGTGTCTGCTACTCCACTGATTCTTGGAAGTAGCTCACTTGTTCTTAATTTTAGAGGCTCATAAGCAGAAGGAACTTGCCTAGTCTCAGACTTCGGAATTGAAATGCTGAGTTAATGCTGAAATGAGTTAAGAATTGGGGATTCTTGAGAAGGCATGATTGGTATTGAAATATGTGAAAGACATAAGCTTTGGGAAGTGCCAGGGGTGGGATGATGTGGTTTGGCTCTGAGTCCCTCCCCAAAATTTATGTTGAATTAAAATCCTCATATGCTAGAGGAGGGGCCGGGTTAGAAGTGATGATTGAATCATGGGGGCAGACTTCCTCTTAACTGTTCTCATGATGATGTATGAGTTTTCACAAGATCTGGGTTTTTAAAAGTGTGTAGCACGTCCCACTTTGCTCTCTCTCTCTCCTGCTGCCATATGAAGAAGCTGCTTGCTTCGCTTTGCCCTGACACCATGATTATAAGTTTCCTGAGGCCTAACCAGCCATGATTCCTGACTTGCGACTCAATTAAACCTCTTATCTTCATAAATTATCCAGCTTTATGTAGTTCTTTATAGAAGTATAAGAAAGGAATAATACATTTTTTTCCCTACATTTTTATGTCAATTTTATTTATTTATTCTCTGATCTTTATTATCTCTTTTTTTCCACTAATTTGGAATTTGGTTTTCTCTTATTTTCCTAATTATCTAGGATGCATCATTAGACTATTTGAAGTTTTTCTTTCTTGTCTTTTTTTTTTTTTTTTGATGAAGACACTTGCAGACTTATAGCTATAATCTTCCTTCTTACTACTGCTTTTAGTGTATTCTACAGGTTTCAATATTTTGAGTGTCCATTATCATGTTTTCATGTGTTTCCAGAAATTTTTTAAATTCCCTTCTTAATTTCTTCATTCACCCACTGGTCATTAAGAAGCATATTGTTTAATTTCCATGTATTTGTATAGTTTCTAAAATTTCCCTTTTTGTTAATTTCAAGTGTTATTCCATTGTGTCTACAGAAGATGCTCAATATTATTATTTAAATTTTTTGAATGTTTGAAAACTTGTTTTGTGAACCAAGAGATGGTCTATCTTTGAGAATAACCTATGTGCTGCGAATAATAATGTATATTCTGTAGTTCTTAAATAAAATGTTCTGTGAATATCTATTAAATCTATTTGGTCCATAGTACAGATTAAGTCTGATGTTTCTTTGTTGATTTTCTTCATCAAATGCTGAAAGTGGGGTGTTGAAGTCTCCAACTCTCATTTTATTAGGGCCTATCTCTCTCTTCAGTTCTAATAATATTTCCTTTATATATGTGGGTGCTCCAGTGTAGGATGCATATATATTTAAAATCGTTATAACCTCTGGATGACTTGATCCCTTTACCATAATATACTACCTTCTTTGTCTCTTCTTGCCATTTTTCTTAAAATATTTTTTGTCTGATACAAGTATAGTGACACTGGCTTTTTGGGGGTTCCACTGGCCTGCAATATCTTTTTACATTGCTTTATTGTCTGTCTACATGTGTCTGTATAGGTGAAGTGTGTTTCTTGTTGGAAAAAGATCAATGAGTCTTTTTTCTTTATTCATCCATTCAGCCAATCTATATATTTTGCTTAGAGACTTAAGTCCATTTACATTCAATGTTGTTATTAATAACTAAGGACTTATTCCTGTCATTTTGTTATTTGTTTTCTATTTTTTTGTGGTCCCTTCCTAATTTATTTTTTTCCTGTTTTCAATTTGTGAAGATGATTTTCTCTAGGGAAATGTTTTAGTTTCTTGATTTTTATTTTCCTTGTATTCATTGTATGTTTTTTCCTTTGAGCTTACCATGAGACTTGCTAATACTATCTTACAACCCATTATTTTAACCTGATAACAACCAGACACTACATGCATAAACAAACAAGCAGAAAGAAAACAAATAAAAGCTCACCCTAACTTCTTGCCCCAACATTTTAACTTTTGTTGTTTCTATTTATATCTTACTGTACTGTCTTAAAAATTTGTTGTATTACTTTGATTGGTTTATCATTTACTCTTTCTACTTAGAATAAGTCTAATTTACACACCACAGTTTCAGTGTTTTTATATTCTTTCTTTTACTGTATACTATTACCAGTACATTTTTGCCTCCAGGTGATTATTTATTGCTTATTAAGGTTCTTTTCTTTCTGATTGAAGTATACCTTTTAGCATTTCTTGTAGGACAGTTCTGGTATTGATGAATCCCTTAGTTTTTGTTTGTCTGGGAAAGTCTTTAGTTCTCCTTCATGTTTGAAGGATATTTTTGCTGGAGAAACTATTCTAGGATGAAAGGTTTTTCTTTCAGTACTTTAAATATGTCATGCCACTCTCTCCTGGACTGTAAGGTTTCCACTGAGAAGTCTGTTGTCAGACATATTGAAGCTCCATTGCATGTTATTTGTTTCTTTTGTCTTCCTGCTTTTAGGATCTGTTCTTTATCCTTGACGTTTGGGAGTTTGATTGTTAAATGCCTTGAGGCAGTGTCTTTGGGTTAAATCTCTTTGGTGTTCTATAACCTTCTTGTACTTAGGTATTAATATCTTTGTCTAGGTTTTGGAAATTTTCTGTTATTATCCCTTTGAATAAACCTTCTACCCCTACCTCTTTTTGTACTTCCTCTTTAAGCCCAATAATGCTTTAATTTGTCTTGTTGAAGGTATTTTCTAGATCCTGTAGGTGTGCTTCATTTTCTTTTTTTGTCATTTGTCTACTCTGTATTTTTTCAAATAGCCTATCTTTGAGATCACTAATTTTTCTGTTTGATCCATTCAATCAAAGGACTCAGATGCATTCTTCAGTATAACAACTGCATTTTTCAGGTGTAGAATTTCTGCTTAAGTCTTTTTAATTATTTCATTCTCTGTTAAATTTGTCTGATTTTTTATCTGTGTTACCTTGAATTTCTTTGAGTTTTCTCAGCATGGCTATTTTGAAACCTCTGTCTAAAGAGTCACATATTTTTGTTACTCCAGCATTGGTCCCCAGGATCTCATTTCGTTCAATTGTGAAGTCATGTTTTTCTGGATGGTGTTGATCCTAGTAGATGTTCTTTGGTGTCTGGGTATTGAAGAGTCACATATTTATTGCAGCCTTCACTGTCTGTTCTTATTTGTAGTCATCCTTCTTAGAAATGTTTCCAAGATATTTGAAAGGACTTGGTTGTTGTGATCTAACCTGTTTACATTTTAGCTGATATCCTAGCCCAGTAATGCCATGGTCCTTGAAGATTCATAGATGTACTGCCTTCATGGTCTTGGAAAAGATCTGGGAGAATTCTCTGGATTACCAGGCAGAAACTCTTGTTCTCTTCCCCTGCTTTCTCCCAAACAAATGGGATCTCTCTCTCTTCTTTAAGCCACCTGTAACTGGGCTGGAATGACACAGCTCCCCTGTGGCCACCACCATTATAATTGTGCTGGGTCATGCTTGAAGCCAGCAAAGCACTGTGACTTGCCCAACACCTATGGTAAAGGCTTCCTGGCTATTATCTATGTTTGCTCAAGGCCCTGGGACTCTACAATAAGCAGGCAGCAAACCATTCAGTCCTTTGTCTTTCCCTTTAGGGTGGTGAGTTCCCCCAGGTGCTGGGTTGGTCCAGAAGTACCATCAAGGAATCAGGAACTAGAATCAAAAACCTTAGAAGTCTACTTGGTCTTCTATTGTATTGCAGCTGAACTGGCACTCAAATCACAAGACACAGTTTCTCCTACTCTTGCCTCCCCTTTCCAAAAGCAAAGAAGCCTCACTTTATAGCCATCACCACCCCAGCCAAAAGTACTGCCAGACTACCACTTATTTTTGCTTAAGGACTCTTAAGTCATCCTGTGATGAATGCAGTCTGGCCTAGGATCCATCCTTCAGAGCAGTGGGCTTCCTGCCAGCCCAGAAAGTCCAGAAATGCTATCCAAGTGTCAAGTCCTCAAACTGGGGACCCCTCTATGGTGGTGTTGGTACCTAAGGTGCAAGACAAAGTCCTCTTTATTTTTCCCTCTGCTTTTCTTAAGCAAGAGTTTTGCCCCATAACTGTCACAGTTGGTGATGTGCTGAGTCTCTTCTGAAGCCAGCAAGTCTCAGTGGTTCACCAAGGCCCTAGATGTACTACTTGGGTATTGCTCCTGGTTATTCAGGGCCCAAGGGCTCTTCAGTTAGCAGGCGATGAATGCTGGCAGGACAGTGTCCTTTCCTTGATGGCAGCTGGTTCTTTTCTGGCCCAGGTGTATGTCTGTAAATGTCATCAGCGTGCTTGTACCTGGAATGGAGCCCTCATAAATCTGATCAGTGCTCTATCCTGTTGTGGCTGAGATGGTATCCAAGATGCAAGACAAAGTCCTCCCCACTCCTCCCTCTCTTGTCAAGCAGAAGGAAGGAGTCTCCTATGGAGTCACAAGTTGTACAGCCTGGGTTTAGGGAAGGAGTGCATGCCCCTCCCCCAAGGGGTAATGCCAGCACTGCCTTGCCTTCCCTACTTGGTGTCTAAGCATGTCATATGCCTCCACAGTCCACTGCCACTAGTCCTAGTTTAGCCCTAAGGCTTGCCTGAGAGTTTCAGTCCTTACAGCCTAGACTGCCTTTCAAATTTACTTAGAGATTGGGAGCATTGTGGCCATATGTGGTGAGGTTTGCAGGCATTCATTTTCCAAGCATGGAGATGTGCGATTCCCTCCTAGCTAGTGCTGGTTTAAATGCTCCCGCTGTAGGAAGGTGGCAGCTGAATGTGGTCTAGTTTTCCTGCCTGCTTTAACAGAATAGCACTGAGTTCAATGCCTGACAATTGCTGTGTTCTCCCTCCCTCAGCACCCACCCAGCCAGGGGTTGGGGAGGGGTGATGTCAGTGATACATTACTGTCTTTTTCTATTTTTTCAGTGCCTCTTTGAGTAATATGAAGTTAAAGCCAGGTACTGTGAATGTTCACCTGATTTTCAGTTCTTATAAGGGTGTTTTTTTCTATGTAGATAGTTGTTAACTTGGTTTCCTTGTGGAGGGGACTATCAGTGGAGCTTTCTATTCCACTACCTTGCTCCACCTCCTTGTGAGTTATTTTTAAACAATTCTCCCACCACTACAATTTTAGCTAAGTTTAGTAGGTTCCTAATTCTGACAAACTGCGCTATTGGGTATGCCTGATTTTGTTTATGTATGGAATCTTGAAAATTTCAGAGCACCAATTTAAATCATACCCTCCATTTATACATTTCCATAAACCAAAGGGACAATAAGTCTTTGAAGTTTATTCCTGTGTGTCTACTAATGAAATTGCAGGCTATTGTCCTTTAGTTTCCCCCTGCTACTTTCCCTGAGCTGGAGAAGTATATTTTACAAACTCTTTTTGGTGAGTTTCCCGTATTTCTTCTCTAGCATGTTATCTCTTTAGTGTGATTTATCCATTTTTTCTAAACCTAAACTGATTCTTTAGTCTACTTAATATTCTTTCTCTTACTGCTAAACTAACATCCATAAGCAATCCATGTCAGCCAAAATATCATTTGCTCAGTATGGCTGTCTTTGTTAAAAGAACTTATATCTTCTCTTATGATTCAAATAGTGCACTAATTTTGCTTAAGGAAATTTAAGAGGGTTTTTCCCAATGTTGATTTATTGGCCAAATATTTTGTTGTTTTTGAGTGCTTATTTATTGAGCATATTTTGTACTTCAAAATGTTGAGTTCCTTGGGATAGCAATATGTATAGTACTCAACCCACACAGACTTTTGTTTGATTTTGCCAGAGAGATTCCCCAAGGCAGTCTGCAAACATTGGTGCTATAAGTGGCAGGTATGTGAGCCCACAAAATTGCTCAAAAATTGACATTGATGTCAGATTTTCAAGTACAGTATTTTTTTTCCTTAGCTTTGCCCACCGTTCACCACAAAAACAAATGCTTTCTATGGTTGTCAGGTTATGCAATACTATCAAATTTGGACACACAGAAGATATTTATGTTCATCATGCAGGTCTGTCTTCAAAATCTTATCACCTAGGTTAATAGTTACACAGTAATCTGTAACTGATTTTGAACTAAGTTGTTTGCTTACATATTGGAGTCCATAGTTTCTGTGCTACCTTCCAAAGGGGGTCAAAATGAGGACCAAAAACACAGTAACATTAGAATTATTCTAGGTGTCCATTTACAAATTATATAACTGTAATCAAAAGACACCTTACAATTGACTCTAAATTGAAATCTTATCTGCTGAGTTCCATTCAAGAGCTTCAGCCTCAAAGTAGCTCTCTACAATCAAACATCTCTGTCGTTTATGGGCATACATAAATATATGTAAGAGATAATAGCATTTTCTTAATCACATTTGTTACTGACTTTCACCCAGACTCTCCTGTACTTTAGATTTAGTCAGAGAGGTGACCCAGATAGTTGGCATCAATTTAAGTTTGGTCATTTTCTTTTCATTTTTTCATTCCCAATCCAATGAAATAGAGTAGGTGAGGTACAGACTGACAATTTCTGCCTCTTCTATAGCCGGTGGATAAAACAATTGTGGAATTGTTTTATCCACCGGCTATAGAAGAGGCAGAAATTGTCAGTCTCAATCTAGACAGGTAAAAAGAAGGTCCAACCCATATCATTATTCTCCCCTTCAACACTGGGGGTCAAGTTCCAACATGGGATTTAGAGAGGTCAAACATTCAAAACATAGCAATGGACATGCCCAGTGCCTTCTCTGTTGCATGTTTTTTGACAAGGAATCACTTCTCCGCATTTACCTTTTTGTGGGAATGAATTTTTCACACCTCTTAATGAATATTCAGGATCTCAAATGGATATTTTTTTTGTAATATAACTACTTTTTAAAATTATTTATCATTTTTTCCACCCCCACCCTTTCCCCTGAGTCCCCAAAGTACTATGTAGCATTCTTATGCCATTGCATCTTCATAGCTTAGCTCTGATATATGAGTGAGAACATACGATGTTTGCAAATTGTGCTGCTAAAAACATGTGTGCAAGTGTCTTTTTTGTATAATAACTTTTTTTCTTCTGC